TGCCCATACTGCTTAGGGTTGACTTGGGACGGGCCAAAACCAAGTGCGATAAACGCCACTGGCTCTTTCGCAAAGCCAACTGGCAAAATTTCCAAAGTCAGTGCGAGACCAAGCTCGGACTAATTGCAGTCGACGTGGCCGACTCAGACTTAGATGTTGCTTTCGAGAGATTCAATGACGTCCTCCTAGAGGTCGCCCGTGTGACGATCCCGAGAACGACCGGGAAGCGACCGTACAAGCCTTTTTGGAACAAAGAGCTTGCAAAACTCGTGAAGCGTAGAGCAAAAGCTCGGAAAGAAGCCGCGAGGAAGAAAACACCGGCTGCTCGTGCTGGTTACAATCAACTTACGGCTGAGGTCCGGGCAGCTGTCCAAAAGGCGAAAAAGTCGAAGTGGGTCAGTGCGTGTGAAAAACTCAATCTTCTGGACGGTAGGAAGGTGTGGAATCTGCTCGGAAGTCTCTCTGGCGCGGGAAAGGCCAAGAACCCGCAGCCAGTACTATCGGACAAGGGTGTCGTGGCGAGCGACAAGGAAAGAGCCAATGTACTGAATGTTCACTTTGCCGCAGTGAACAATGAGTCCAAAGTAAGAAAGGAGACCGACGAGCACAAGGAAATCCGCCGTCTGAAGATAAGGGGAGCTCGTATCCAGCGTACTGGACCCCACCCTGAGATATTCACAGTTCCCTTCACAATGGAAGAATTGCAAACCGCGCTCAAAAAGTGCTTGCCGGCGAAAGCACCAGGCCCAGACAAAGTTCACAATGAAATGTTAACCCACCTGGGTAAACAGGGGAGAGAACTTCTGCTGGCTCTCATTAACCGAACTTGGACTACAGGTATTTTACCGAAAGTGTGGAAGCAGGCCATAGTGGTTCCCGTACCAAAGGAGGGAAAACCAGGCCATTTACCAGGTAGCTACAGGCCAATATCGCTGACGTCCTGTGTGGGCAAAGTGGCCGAGCGAATGGTGAATGGACGACTCTACTGGTTTTTGGAGAGTGGAAAGCACCTACCACCGACGCAAGGTGGCTTCCGTAAGGGTAGGCAGCCCATGGACCAGGTGGTCCGTCTTGTTCAGTCTATGACCAATGAACTCCAGAAGAAAAATCATTCGTTGGCAATTTTCTTTGATCTCAAGCAAGCATATGACCGCGTGTGGCGCGTTGGCCTCATGCATAAATTCCAGAAGTTGGGTGTCACTGGAAACATGTCCAGGTGGGTGACGGACTTTCTCAAGGACAGATATATTGTCACACGGGTTGGCAATAGTCTATCGAAGCAGCTTGCTCTAGAGGACGGACTCCCCCAGGGGTCTGCCCTCAGCTGCACCTTGTTCTTGGCCTATGTCTATGACTTGCAAGAGGGATTAGTGTCCGATAATGCCATGTTCGCCGATGATCTAGTAATCTGGACTTCTGGTCCTAGCATCAACCACTTGCAGAACCGGCTGCAAAACGATCTCCATACCATCGAGGACTATGCGAGACGGTGGAAAATGGTTGTGAACACTGAGAAGACGGTCTATTCTAAGTTCACTAACGGAAGAAAGGTGCTTGAGACCGATGTTAAACTCTCCATAAATGGGAAAGATTTGGTATGGGACAGGACTCCAGTCTACTTGGGGATTAAGTTGGATCAGAAACTCCGACTTCATCACCACGTACGCGAACTATGTGCCAAAGCTTCACAAAAATTGGGCTTGGTGAAAAAGCTAGCTTGCACTGAATGGGGTGCAGATGCAAGACTGTTGAGATCGCTCTACCTTAGCAGTGTGAGAGGAACAATGGACTACAGTTTGCCTGTCCTAGCCTTCGCAAGCCATACGGCTTTGGAAGAACTGGACCGCGTCCAAAACCGTGCTCTAAGGTTTGTTTGCGGGGCAATACGAACCACACCCACGGCGGCGGTGGAGATCATTTCCAATGTCGAACCGCTCGAGGTCAGGCGAGAGAAGGCAGTCCTTACGACGGTAGAGCGTTACCGCCGCATGGGCAAAAAGGATCCCTGTTTCAAATTACAGGACGAATGGGAGAAAAAGTCCAGATTGAAGCGACCATCCTTCATGGACATGGTTCACAGTCTTGAAAAAGACGTCTTTCTGCCCAGAAACAGGGAGAAAGTGAAAGTGATCCCCGCGCGGGGACCACACAAAAGTCTTCCCCTGCCGGACATTCGACTGGAAATGGTTGATACCAAAGCCAGCGAAGGCAGTCCTCAACTAGACCCATCAGAGGCTGTGCAACGCACGATTGACGCCTACCCGGACAGCTTGGTTAAAGTCTTTACGGACGGCTCATGTTTCACGGAGGAAAAGCGTAGTGGCTATGGTGCCCTCATCCAGTATCCCGCAGAGATAGCTCCACCCGAGGAGCTATCAGGCCCATGCGGTAGGAATGCAACAAGCCTCGATGCGGAAATTGAGGCGATACTGGCAGCTCTCAAGAGGTTGAACCAACGCCTAACCAATCGGAAGTCCTTCCCGGACGTTGTGGTCTTCACCGACTCTCGTTCTGCTCTCGAACTCATGGGGGAGAGATCGGTGGGCTCGACAAAGATCACTGTCATTCTGGAAACAGTAGGCTCCATCCATGCACATGGCCCTAAGGTAATCTTCCAGCTAATCACTTCGCGCTTAGAGGCGTCGCTTCCGGACAGGGCAGATTTCTTAGCCCAAGAAGGCGCAGCCCTAC